GCCATGTCCTTTAGTCTTCATGATGCCGCTGTTCAGTTATGTTCTAACAAACTTGATTATATTGGATTTTTTTTTTTGCAGGAGAATCAGAGTAAAAGGGGTCTGTATACCGAAAACGGTACAAGAAGGACAAAATGTTGTAATAAATAAACTGAACAGTGTGACCTTTAAAGCGATCAAACATCTGGGAGTATTATTTCACTCAGAGCCTTAAATCTGAGAACATTTTGAAAAAAAGTTGACAGAAGTGAGGCTGGGCAACAAGCTGCTCTGCCAAAACCACAAAACCGGGTTTTACAGAGCTGCTCAAGCTCTTAGGGGCCTCTGAAAGCAGAGAAAATGTCAATCCTATTAATGCAGGTGCACATATGCAGGTGCTGAAAGACAGCACATGTATCTGGTTCATGTCTTTATAGGTTTTCTAAAACAGGAATTTATGTAATCACCCAAATGGCTTGGTGTAAATTTAAGAGAATCCAATACCACATTACAAACATTTATGCATTAATCTGGATGGAAAATGGGTCTAACCTTTAATATGTTCCTGGCATCAAAAGCCTCTCTTTCACTTGTGGCTTGTTTTCCTGCTCCACCCCTGTTCTCAACTGCAAAAAACACCACAGACCAACAGACAATAAAAGGAAAAACACTTTGATAAGTTATCTCGGAAGAGGCAATAAACATGTTTACTTGCAGCTCCGACAGCACCCAGCGAATGTCAAGGTAACTTCGTTTGCTATAAATGGTATTGCGAAACCGAGGACTGGGGAGAGCGCGGCCGCTGAGGTTTGCACATTGTGGTCGTAAACATGGTCAGCAGTGGCAGACCGCTTTTGCTCTGCGCGGTGTTGTTGTCGGTCAGCCCGGTGCGAATGTGAGAACCGCTGCTGGACGGGATCCATCAGCAAAATGAAAGAAGGCATTGTGAGAGTAGCTGGAAAGCAGCACCCTGTTCTGTGCACGTACACAGCTCTAAGGCCAAACAGAGAAGTACCTCCCTGATTCCTCTCTGGGCAATTTAGCTGTTCTATTTGTTTTGAGGCTCAGCTTTGTGGTCACTGCAACTCCGATCTGAGCCAAAAGATAATAAGGGAACATTGGAAAAGTATGTTCCGGAACAAAAAAAAAAGGACAAATATAATGATCCCAGCAGTTCTCCTTTTTTTTCCCTGTTCGTGGTTAGCTGAGGCCTCGTAAGACAAATCACAAATATCCTTTTTATGAATCAAATGTGGTCATTTTTGGTCATTTTCTCGTGAATGTTCTCACAATTTCATTTGGATATATCTGTAAAAATTGAAAACCTCATGTGTGACCTTAAAATACCACTTTATTTCTACACATCTGAGCTTATTGAAAAGATGCTGTTCTATTCATGACCAGCTGTTGTCAAGTAGAGAAAATGTGATCTACGTCCTGAGGACATCATCTCATGAAACGCTGCTTTTCATAAAGCCTGGGGCAACAAAAATCACACAAAAGTCTTAAAAGCAACTCTTCAACAAACTTTTTTTTTTAAATCACATGTCTTTATGAATTAAGATTCACATCAAGCTAAAATGACAAACCACATGCAGCAGCGTCTGAATAAATTAAATTATCTTTAAAAAAAAAGTTAATTTATTTCAGTAATTCAGTTCAACAAGTCAAGCTCATTTATAGATTCATTGCACGTAAATGGATTATTTTAAAATGTTTCTGCTATTTTGGTGATTAATGCTTACACCTAATGAAAACCCCAAATTAAGTTTCTTAGAAAATTTTAATATTACATGAGACTAATGGGAAAAGAATTTTAAATTCAGATGTTGAATGTTATGAACTAGCTATAACTAATTCTGGGAAAAACTTTGTAAAAAAAAAAAAAAAAAAAAAACCTGATGTTCTGAGATTCGTACCCAAGTACATCTCTGGAAAGTTGAGTGGAAGGTCAAAGTGTGGTAACAAAACGTGCACATACCTGACTACGAACCCATTTAAGAAATTCTTGGGGTACATTCACAAGGTGTGTACTACGGCTGAATTGAGTGTTTAAAATCCACCTCACCCAGATGTATCCAAGGTACTTTTACTGACGTCGAGGTAAAAATATAGCGGATGGGAGAAGTTAAAAATGTGGATATAAGAAAGAAAGAAGTCTCCACACTTCCCAGATGCCAACGGATTCTGACAAAACGTTTAACAAGAAACCAAAAAAAATCTCAGCTGAACCACGGCAAATTTCAAACTGGTGGCAAAAGTTATGCACAGGAAGGAGGATGAATTTCAAACATTTTTTGCACATTTTGCACGTTCTGGAACCGTTTTGTTAATGGAGAGCAGTGAATGAAAGAGAGAGAATCAAGCTGTCACCAGACGGTGCTCATAGTATTTACCTGTGGTGTCCTTTCTGAACAGCGTGTTCATGACAGTACCATGCAGCTTTACTCTGTCCCACTCCCTGACCATCAGCCCCGCAGAGACAAAATGCTCCACCAGCCGATCTGCAATCACCTGCAACCTACATAGAATGAAAAAGTTAAGGTAAAACTTAAAATAAAAAAAATTTAAAAAAAAAACTGAAACCACTTTTTCTTTGGAATACAAACCTGTCGGATCCATCTTTAACACCGACTTTGGCATACAAGACGTCCACCATGGCTGGATCATCATTCATGTACTCTATACCCGTCACTTCCAACGGCAGAGGCTTTCCTTCAGTGATGTCCCTGATGGAATGCAAAAACAAATTAATAGCGTTTTCAAAATCAACATCTATAAAATGTTTTAAGACATTAGATTCAAAAGAGATTAAATTTTCTGTCAAGCCATTTCACCTCTTTAAAGGCCTTTTAATTAGAGGCCAAAGAACGTGTTGTAGTGACCTAAGTTTTTACTTGTTATAGGCGCCTGCTCCAAAAAAAAGGAATAATATTCTGTGCAGTAAGTAAAAAAAAAAAAAGAATTTCCTGGGTGTTTATATTATATTTTGCCTAGGTCTATGTATTAAACTCAGAATAACAAAAAAAGAAATGTATGCACAACAAATATAGCTATAATAATCAATATATTGTATGATTTAATTTTAACTTTTGCTTTTCTGGTTACAATAAAGCCAATTAGATCATTATATGCATTTTGGGTTTTACATTTTCTTTAATGTTTTCATACCAAGAGTTCACACCAGCCCAATGCCTGTTAGTCCGGTTTTAAGCATTGTTTGTTAAAACACATTTCTGCAGCACAAATAAATGACACCATGATTTTCACATGCTATAGTGCAACTTTCATATTTAAGATTAAAGCTGAAGTCATTAGTCTGAGCTTTAAATCAGTGGGAAAAAATTCAAATTAATATTTTAAAGAGTAATTTCACTGTTATCTGAAATGTGTTTGTGTTTTCAAATTCATCACAGTGTCAAGCCTGACATGATGAAGTAATTTTTTTAAGCCTCTACCTGATAAAACTTTGGCATTCTTGGAGGCGTTCACATGCTTTTCTCACTTCTGCGTCATTTAACAGAGCCAGGGTGCCAATTGTCAAATGAAGCTTTGCAGGGTTTTGAAAGATGCTTTCCTCCACTCCGTGATCCTGCAAAAGTAGGTGACACATGATTTATTCGTCATCACGCGATGCAATAATTTAAAACTACTTCGACTGGTCCCCGTTGTGTTTGCATTTGTCAGGAGCACCTGCGAACACTGTCGCAACACCTCATCTTTAAATGTCTGGAATCCCTCTTGAACTTTGGAGTCATTCAAAGGCAAAGACAGGAAGTGAGTGAAGGGCTGTTTCTTTCGGAAGCTCTCCACAAGGACTTCTACTCGAGTGACCGCAGAGGAAACCGCAGCTTTTTGGGCAGCAGTGATAACTAAAAGCAAAAGAAATGCAAAAGAAGGACATATTTTGCAGGTAAATTAGTTTCAGAATGACCTGATTTGATATTTATCCTCACCGATTTGTCCTTCTATTCCTTGTTTCGGGATGCTGATTGAGGCTTTGGTGTCAAACTCAAGACGTCTACGAGTTTCTCCTTTTTTCCCAATGATATATCTATATAACAACAAAATTAAAAACATGCTCACCATGCGCACAGTACACCAATGCTTACACAAAAATGTTATTCTTTTCAAATTTAGGGGGGTTAAAGGGAGCTACTTTTTCACAGCTTACTTGTAAAGAACACTTGGGACATCAATGGCACAGCGGTATCCTTTATCTGTTTGCTCAATGAAGTGGGTGTCACAGGTTTCATCCTCTTCCAGAGCTTCACTCTCTTCAATCATACAAACATGGAGTTGGTTTATGCAAAACAAACTAGTAGCAACAGTAGACATTTGAAGTTCCTTGCAAAACCATTTATATACACATGGGTAACTTTATTTTCATATTCGTTCTAGTTAAAATCACTCACGTACTTTCTCGATATTTATGTGGGGACCAACACAAAATACAGTATTCAAGATAATAAAGCTGAGGCATGCATTTATATTTGGTCTTTTTGAGTTGATACTTTGTAGAAGGAACTTGTGCTAAGTACTTGTCTAAAAGTACTTTCTGGTTCTGGTGGTCTATCACATAAAGTCCCAATAAAATACACGTTTGTTTGTGGTTGAAGCGCTACAAAATAATTAAACCTGTCAAATGCTTACTAACCAGATGGTCCCATGTACGAGAAATCTTCTTCTTCTTCATAGTGTTCTTCTTTAACTATGTTTCTTCGATATATTCTGCCGTTTACGTTGATAAGCGGTGGGCGCAGAACATCCATTGGTTGCTACCAAACCTAAATTAAAACTGTTAAAATACCAACATAAAGTGACAGAAAACAATTAAAATTTCGTTAAAATTACCTTCAAATTTTTACAACTTCAAAGTAGCAAGTCATACACGTATGTTAGCTGGTCAATCGCTTTACGACACTTTCCTCTAATTTACGGTAACGTGTGTTACAGATCTACATAACATGTAAGCGGAACGAGCTCCCTGGAACACTATAGAAATGAACCATTCAGATTGTTGTGACATCTTTTAAAATGGCAACTCTCTTTTTGACGGAAATTACAGACGGCTACACAAACACCGCGAGCTAAACTGCGTACGAATAAAACCGAACAATCTGGAAAATTACGGTAGGGTTTTACTATTTAGAACATCTGAGCTGATTGTATTGTGTGGAGAAATATCTAGGCCGAGTGGTCATTCGCTCCATTGCTACAGTTAGCTTTCCTACCAGCTGTTCTGATAGCTGAATCGGAATGCATTTTTGAAACTAAAACAAACGATTTTACGTTTTTTTTATTATGTGGTTAGACTCATATACATAATAAAGATGGTTAGACTGATTTTAGCTTGCTTTGTGATTGATTCGTTGTTGCTCTGCAGACACTTTAGGATTAGCCGTGATGAATAAAGTTCTCGTTGACGTTTTGGTATGTTCTTGGTAGCTTCCTAAGGCAATGGCAGCGTCTTCGTCGTCCTCGTCTGCGGGAGGTGTGAGCGGTAGCTCGGTAACAGGCTCTGGATTCAGCGCTTCAGAGCTCATCCCTCCCAGGAAAGTTCTCTACACTTATCCGAAAGGAGCTGGGGAAATGATGGAAGGTATGTTGTTGTTGTTTTTGTTTTTTAGATGTATGACAGCATGGGCTGATCCTGACGGAAAATAAACACTGTTTTGGGAAAGATATTTTCATATAATCAGCAAGATAGATTAATTCAACTGGGAAAATAATAACAATTCAATGATTCCCTAATGATTATTTGCAGAGGAGAAAGTTACATTCATAAACTGACCCCCATAAACAAGACATGCTAAATTTGCTATCCCTGAAACAACAACACCTTGCACTTTTCCACATTTTAAGTCAAAATGCGGATTTCCTCAACACAAAGTTGTCTATATGTGATAAAATGATACAGGGGTTCATTTATTTGCAATTAAAAGAACCCATGCAAATTCTAAGCTTCTCATCCATCAAATGGAAAACAAATAAAGTGTATCAGAGCTGCAAATCTGACTGGATAGGCCACAATAATGTGAGAAACAGCAAGGAGACCCAGAGGAGTGGTAAGAAGTAAGCCACTAGAAGTTTTGTCGAAAGTTTGCCTCAAGTCATATGGAGGGAACAGCCCCTTGGACAGCTTGATCAAAACTCTAAATAGAACTAAGAATCTGCAGCAAGACTTAAAGATTGATGTTTACAGACACTCTTTGACTGAGCTTCATCTGCAAAGAAGAATTAACCAAATTGACAGTCTCTGGGTATGAAAACCTGGTAGAGACGTAGTTTGTAGTTGCAAAGTAATCAAATTTACTTCTAAAGTTTACTCGGCCAAAAAGCTTTACATTAACCCTGTCCAGATAAGCTATCGGCCTCTCTAAGCTTATCTTGGATTGAAAATTGCACAATAAAGACATCTTTGTATCAGATCAACAAACACAGATATTCTTTTGAAGAAATGAACATAGTTTCCTCTGGACCAAATACAAAACAGGCCATCCTGAAACGCATCCAAAAGCAAAGCTCTCAGGGTTTTAGAGTTGCATCAGTGCCCTGGGCAAAGGTTATGTACTGTTTTGTGACGACAGCCCTGATGCTAAAAGTATATCAAGATTTAGAAAATCTATACCGCCTTAAAGATTACAGAGCTTGCAGGGACGACCTTGCATTTTTCAATAATAAACAAGAGTAAAAAATATATATATATATATATATATATATACATAAACAAGTACAGCTAGTACTGAACTGCTTGCAGTCCAGATTCTCATTTATCACAAAGTCCTGAAAATATCAATTTTGATCATGCTGCACCTTTTTAATGCAATTTCTATTTTCAGATGGCTCTGACAGATTTTTATGCGAGTCTGTGTTCAGCTACCAAGTTGCCTCCACGCTAAAGCAGGTTAAGCAAGGTAAGTCCTGGTTCATACTCCTTAAACTTTTTCATATTTCCGAATTTTGACTTATTAAAACCACAAACATCTGTGTTCCTGTTTGGTTAAATGTCTGCCTCAAACTAGAGTGCACAATCGTGAAATGGAAGAAACTTACTCTTTTTCTACTTTCTTGTACAAATTGAACTTTGAAAAATGTGACGTATATTCAACCAACACGAGTCAATTCAGTAGGCATCAAATTTTCAAGTCTTAACTTTTGGTCTAATGTGGCAACAGCACTATTTTCCACCAATTTTGAGCTCCTTTAGGTTAACCTAATAAAATTTGATATGGTACTAAAGTAACCTGTTTGTTCTTTCAGATCAACAAGCATCTAGAATGGAGAAACTTGCGAGCCTTGTGGAAGAGCTGGAAGCAGACGAATGGCGCTACAAACCAATAGAGCAACTACTGGGATTCACACCGTCCTAGTCAAAGTCATTCAGATGCCTTTTGTGGAATAAATCAGCCAAACAGAATGAAGACAATAGGAAATGTTTTATTCTGTCTCACATGTGATACTTTTTGGATGTAAGAGTTTACACTGTAACATAGAACTAAAAGTTATTTCAACATGTTGAACGTAAGATTTTTTTTTTTTGTATATTTTGCACAATTTTGTGTTTACCTTTTTTAAACCTATTTCCTATCATGTGTACCACCTAAACTAAAATACCTTCCAGCTTAATCTTACAACTACTCAACTTGTAATATTATTTAACAGTCATAATATGTCTTTCATCTCATTCAGACTAATAAAACGGATTCTTGACATGCTTGGTGTTGTGTAGTTTGTTCTTATTAATCCTTTTTCACTGAGTTTTAAGCTCTCTCTTATCTGGCAACTGATTTCCTTATGATTTCCTGCTTCACGAATGTGCCAAAGTTTGACGCACAGCACCGCTGTTGTTTTCGTGCAGCTTTCTGTGTTTACAGCGAGAAAGTACACACGGATCACTCCGAGCGGTTGTTTTCATCCAAATGAAGGCCGGGAATGCACAGAACATACTGTCCTTTGGCCCGGCCCTGGCCAGTGCAGGACACGCCTCCAGCTGGTGGTTAGATTTCATCCACAAGGAGCTTGATCCAGAGCACTCTTGCAGTTGTTGTCTGGATAGTTTTCTTTGTCTTTTTCAAAGTTTTCAAGTATGAAAACTTTACTGTTTTTGTGTGTAAATTTCCGGCTTTATTAGCATAATTCAAAAACATCTACTTCAGAACACCATGTGCCTCCATGTGACTTTCACTTCCTCTCTTGCAAAGTACACGTTATTCCACGCCTACGCACGTGAAACAGCATAGCATACGTCTGGCGGTTATCCAGAACTCTATGATCTAACTGTACTGCGTATGTACAGTTTGCTCACCCATGAGTGACACAATTGCAATTATTTTTGCACCAAGGCTACACAGCCTCTTTTTAATGCCTAATTGTTGTTCTGTGTTGCGTGTACGTGTTCATGCACACATTTCTGCACCCATATCCATTTCCCCACATTTCATCTTTTATGATCTGGTCCTACAGTGTTGTGGGGGTTTCACTCCTCCAGATTTCTTCCGTTTTCGCTTCTTTTGTCACACTTAAATGTTCAGAACCGTCAAGGAACATTTAATATCACAGCTAACCTGAATTAAATGGCAATTTTCTGAGGGGAATGAAGGTATTTGTGACTAAGTAGTTATCCCATGAACCTGGTTGCAACTGAGTTTTAAAAGAGTTTTTTATACTGTTTTGGAAGAACTTTGGTATAACTCTCTTGACAATATAGTTTTAATTCAAACATTAGGATTTATTTGATCATGAATAACCTGTGCAGAATAGGTTCAGTATCTCCATAAAATTAAGTTTACACATTGACTAGAGCCTACCAAAACTTTAATTTTGAGGTTATTATTTGTGACTCACTCAGAGGTGGGCTTGTACGTTCGATTTTAAGATCACAAACCGATTAATAGAAATTCTCCCTAGGACTTTGTGGTATTTCGGAGTATCCTGCCTCCATTAGTTATGGCAAACTGTCCAAGGACTGAAGTGACAAAACAGCCCCTAATTGTTCCACTGCCATTTTTGCACAGTTTCTTTTTTTTGTTGAATGAGGAACACTTACAAATGAGATTTGCTTTACATGTTCTGGGTTTTTTGTATCGCCTCCTGAATCAGTCGCTGATGCAAACTGATAGTCTGGTTACCAGCATATCGAGGCATGACATGTTGCTTTTTGAGACCTTTAAACCTACTTCATGTTGTTAGCATCTAAAAGTTATATCTGCGCTGTACAGATCGAATAGCAATCATGCCTTAGTGGTAATCATAGTTAATTTATGACTTCAGAAAGAAAAATAATGGCCTCTTGACGCTGAGCAAGGTTGGATAGTTTTTCCCTTCATAAATAAAGTCAGTTTGAAAACTACCTTTTATACTTGCATTGGTTCCCTTTGTCTCATTGGTTTGTAGATCTGAAACAAATGTGTCAAGATATCATCAACACTTTAGTCTGAGAATAAATATAATGCTTACTGATGAGGTGAATAAATGGTGGCCTCTTTAACATGTTGCTTTTAATTTATGTTCACATTTATATCATGCAGCTTATTGCGTGTTTGCATCGCTGCGGGTCAGATAAAAAATTCTGATGTAATGCTTGAGAGAAAAACAGGTGACGTAATGTACTGTACACTGCAGCCCTGAACCAGCCTTTGGCAGTGTCTGCATGGACTTTGTCCTTTGCTTTTACGGCTGCCAATGCACCAAACAACAACAGCAAAAAAGAACATACCTATTGAGGATGCTATACAAAAGAACCGCTATATGACGGTTGTATGCCCAGACAAGTCCCTGTACATTTCCACTACAGTGGGGTTGAAGCCACCCCTCCCTCTAAACCTCTTTCTCCTCCTGTTTGTCTTTCTTCTCTGCTGGCATGTTACCAGGCAAGATACAGCTCACAAGCCGTGCCCCTCTTTTTGATTGGCTGGTTGGGGTAAAGTGGGCGTGGCCTAGTTCAGGGCATATATAAGCATTGTTGCAGGGGCAAAGAGACTGCGGAGTTCGACAGCTGCTGAAAGAACGGGAAGGAGGAGTGGACGGTGGAAGTTTTTAGAGAATAACTATCCATTTTTTTTTCAACAAAAACAACGACTACGCACTTTAACAGCTTTATTTCAAAACTGTAAGTATTAATATTTGTTAGTTTTGCTGAAATTAGAGCTAATTGGACTAGCTTAAGCTGCTTAATTATTGCTGTTGCTAGCTTTAAACGTCTGCATTTCTTTATTGTAATTAAGATGGCATATTTTCTATCTCTTTTACTTATTTTTTAATGTGTTTTTTTTAAAAGTGGTTGAAGTCTTATGTTAATTTGTGGTCTTTGTGTCTCCTCATAAAACAGTTGAAATCTGACACGCATCTGTTGAACACTAAAGAGAAGACAAACATGCCTGAAGTCTTTGCACCAATAGAGGCTGGAAGTATACCTCCGTCCCCAGTGGACAGCAGTCCCAGAAGACTGTCCTGGGGGAAACTGGTCCAAAGACTGGCTGATTTCAGCACAAACGACAGCAGCATTGAATCAGGGTCCAATAATGGCAGCAGGAGTGATCTTTCAGACTCAGGTGAGCGTTTCCTTCCAAATCTGTTGAAATCCTATTGGAGGTTTTTCTTATAACGCTTGAAAGTGCTCACTCCCTGCTTCTCCTCTGCAGGCTCTGATGTCTTCAATGATCTGTGTCCTGTGAACGATGACCTTTTCTTTGACCCAATGGAGGAAGCAATCCTGAAAGAAGTAGTGGACCTCATTGCACGGAGCCTAAGGGAGGCCAAAGACTCAGACTGTGCGTTGAGATGTACCAAGCTGCTCATTCCAGAGAAACTTCTGGAGCACATCGGACAGGAGCTCATCCACCTGGCAGCTAGCGAGCCCTGCGGTTTAAGAGGGGCTCTCATCGACCTCTGCGTGGAGCAAGGGGCCGCCTGCGAGAGCATAGGACAGCTATCCGTGGACCCTTATCTCGTCCCCACATTTCAGCTCACTCTGGTGCTGAGGCTAGAGTCGGGCGGGCTGTGGCCTAAAATCCAGGGACTGTTCAGCTCCAAGTCTCCTTCCACTCCAGCTCCGAGACAAGCTATAAAACTTAGCACTGGGTTCCGCGTGATTAAAAAGAAACTGTATTCTTCTGAAGGGCTGCTCATAGAGGAATGTTGAATGGACAGGGGGGAAAAAAACTCACAGAAAGGCCTTAGAACTTCATTTATGTGATGCCTTTTGAAGTGTAAGGATGGACTTTGTCATAATGTAGCCTTTTGTTCCTACTGTAAAGGACCTGAAGTTTATGGTACTTGGAACATTTTTTCTTTTTTAGCCTAACCATTGTGCTTCATCTTGGTAAACGGGCATTTTGCAAGTATTAAAGTGTGAACCTTAGTTTCTATTGAAACTTTGTTCAGGCAGCTAGCTGTATTCTTTGAATCTCTGTAGATTTATTTTATGTTTTTCCATAAACATGTCAATGAATTGAACTGTAGCCCGTCGTGTTGGGGTATCCTTCACACTCCCAGAGTTAAAGCCAGCCAGTGCTTGTGCATTTGCAAGCCACAGCTAAGGTTTCAAACCTCATTCAGTTTTCTGTTGCGTTTGAACCTCATTGCTTTCAACTTTATTTGATATTCAGATTTTCATAATGTTGCACTGTTTTTGTACTTTCATGATCACAAATAAATTATTGGTTTTTTTTTTAATAACAATTCTTTGTTTTGAAATGTTCTTGTATTTGTGGTTCATTTTAGAGTGAGATTTAGGTGACTCACGGAAATGAGGAGGAGGTGGTCAATTTTAATGTTATAATTGTCATATAAATTATTAGTCTTATAAGGCCTAATATCATAATAATGCGTTTTTTTTATTATTAACCGCATAAAAAAACTAATAATTTGGCTGTAAAGCCTTTTGAGCAAACTTGTATTTGGAGATTTAATGTACTCAGTGTTTGTTGACCCATAATCAAACCCTTAAAGCTTATTAGATGTTTCTAAATTTGCGCTAAAAAGAAATGCAGGAAGTTTGGAACTCAACATGGATTTAAACTGTAAATGCTTAAATATCCCCAAAGTATGATACATGTCTTTACAGCAGTAGTGTTACACAATAATGAGGATAATCAAACTTTTTAACGCTGCAGTATTTCTTTACTCAGTGACTATTTACTTTGTGGAAACTGTAATGGAACAAGGTGTAAATCTAACCTATATAATCTGAAATATATTTAGATGAAATTACAGGCAATCACAATGTGCCTCCAATATGTTACAGGTGTTCACAACTTTCATCTCTGACTATTCTAGAAAAGTTAATCTCAGTAATAAAAAAAAAAAGATGTAAAACTCATATTTTAAAAAGATCTATAATACACAGAGTGACATGTATCTCAATACTCTACTTCTATTGATTTAGATGCTTATGGGCTACAACTATTAAACATTTAAATCTTGTTTCTTGAAATGGATTGTTACAAAGGAGGGTTTTTAATTCAGACTTACTGAAAGGTATGCTCATGAACTGTTATACGGGATTAACAATAATACCAGAGCTGCACACCAAACGTCATGCGAATAAACTATGTTTTACTACATGCGGCAGCACTTTATTTGACAGGGTGTGCATAAGACTGACATGACACTGTCATAAACATGAAGGAGTCTTTATGAATGTCTATGGCTGCTATTATGAAGTCTCATTCTCTAAATAATGACACTTTTAATCCAAAGTTGCTTTAAAAGTTGCATTAGAAGTCCTGACTTTGTATTATTTTGTAAATAATGACACTTTAATGCAAAGTTGGCACTTTTAATGGACTGTCAAGGCAACTTTTAGGGCAACTTTGCAGTAAAACTGTCGTTATTTACCAAATAACATTTCATGACAATAGTAACAGACATTAAACTCCTTCGTGTTCATAACAGGTGTTATGTCATGTTTATGACAGTGTCATGTCAGTATTATGCACACCCCGTCAAGTAAAGTGTTACCCTACTTGCTACACACACAAATACGACACACTTGCAAAAGTGATTAGACATGGAAAAAGAAGCAAAATAATGAATCAAGAGTAAAAGTAACAGAGTTTACTACTGAAGTTGTGAGTAGCAGCCATCTTGAAATCCTAACTGGGATTAGTCGGAGTTCTACCACTTTCCAAGCGAGATGTTCGGCTTGGGTTTGGCGTTCCAGTTGATTCCTCCGACTTGGAAGTCGGAATGTCCGAGTTCCGACTAGAAATGGAACGCAGCATTGTGGAGTTCGTCAGCGACTCTCAAGTTAGCATTCTTCATCATAATTCTGCTTCATATCTATTCTTAATAAGATATCCTTGTATTTCTTAGTTTTATGTAATATAAAAGTCTTATTATTTATATTTTGAACAGAATTACTGAAATAAATTGGCTTTTGGGTGATATAATTCATTCAGATGGAGTGGATATAGTGTTGCTGAGTTCATGCAACAAAATGGATAACATTAGTTGTGTTGAATCAAAACTCAGATGCAACAAAACTCCAAATTACATAATGAGTGTTGACCCAGAACGACAGGGACATTTCTGACTGAAGTTTGTTTTTATGTTAAGTTAAAGTTTTATCTGCTAGAGAGAGGAGTACTGACTTCTTCGAACAGATGACCCCACTAAGAACGAAAATGCTTCTCTGTTCTTGACCTCTCAGATAACGTGTGTACTCATCTGCAGTGACACTATTCTTGAATGTAACAAGCAGTCACACACTCAGTCAGCATAAATCGAGCCACCGTGGTTTTCAAGAGGTTTTCGGGTCAAGGCATCAAAATTTTTTTTCTTAAGTTCCTACCCACAAATTTGACCGTTTAAATCAGCTGTCATGAGTACGAGCAGAACTTGAAGTTGAAACCAATTCATGACTCAAGCGGAAAAAAAAAAAAATGTCACTGAGAAAAAGTTGCAACTTCTGCTGAAAACAGCTGAACTTATTTATAGAGAAAAGAATGTGACGCTGCACTCTCTGCTGCTCGGGACAGGCTGCACGTCTCACTCTCAAAAGTGTGAACGTGCGCGCTGCCATGTGTCCACTTCCCAGCCTTAGTCAGCCTCCCGGCACAGTTTGTACTAAATATGCTGACTGAGCTTTTGTTTTGTTTTTTTGTTGTTTTTTTCCCCTCTCTCTCTCTCTCTCTCTCTCCCTCTCTCTCTCTTTGTCTCTCTCTCTCTTTTCGCCTCCATGCTTGTTCTGCTCGCAGCAATGAGTCACATTCAACATGTTCAGGCATCCATTTTTATTTTTATCTGGGAGTAGAAACACAGTGGGGGACAAAAAAAAAAAAGTGAGACGTCGTTCTACTTTTCTCTTAGTTTGGATGATGTATGTAATAAATAAGATACAAAGAATAAATATCGTGTTCCGAACTAAAATATGAGATGTATCAGAGACAATACACAGCGAAAACCTACATCCTGCTGTAGTCCCACTTGGTGGGTATAAGCACACGTTTCATCCTTTTGGCACAGTGCCTTACAAAAGTATTCACCCCCCCTTGAACCGTCTCATATGCTGACACTTTACAGTCATATGTATTTATTTATTTATTTATTTTTTTTTTAGATTTTATGTGATATACCAACACAAAGTAGAGCATTACCGGGATAGGAAAATGAAGGGAACACAAGGTTTTCCACAATTTTATAGTGACAAGCGTGAGCTGAAATTGTGCTGATACCCCTCAATAAAGGGTGAGAAATAGGTTTCCACCTTCAGGCGTGAACTAATAGTGAAAGCCATTGTTGTTCACCTAAATTGATAGGTAAAGGAAGGAACTCATCATTCATGTGAGTCTGTAGGAGCTGCACAGATCCATGGCCCTATCAGTCCAGAGGTAGAAGAAAAACGAGGTGGTTGGTCAGATGGAACCAAGACTGAACTTTCCGGATTACATGCGACGTGTGAAGGAAGACGAGTACGAAGCGTTGACCTGAACGCATCATCCCAGCTGTGAGACATGGCACGCTTTTCTTCAGAACAGACAGGGAACGTTGTCAGAACACAATTTTATTTTTTTGCAAATCAATGCATGCATTTGTGTTCAGCTAAATACAAAAAATATAAGAAGAAACAGTTGGTGGCCGTAATAAAAGACTTCTGAGGGGCTTTCTGTTGGTCTATCACAATAAATCCCGATTTTATTTCACGTAATGTGAAAAACCTCGAGGGATGTAAATACTTTTTCGACGCCTTGCATCCAAAGTGAAGTGAGGTAAAACCACATGGTCGACCTTCGTTTAATCAAAGGACAAAAAGTGACAGGATTATCTCCTGACTCTTGTCTCTCGAGCACATTAGAACAAAAGACTATGTCTAACTACGCCCAAACCGTGAGTGCACGTGTTAATCAGAGGCTACACCAATTTCCCTGCATAGTTAGAATGTGCATTTAGAGTCAGTGGAAACAGCTTCTCCTCTGACTTCAGAAAAAAAAAACAAAGAAAAAAAGGAGGAAGCATTCAACATGGTATCTTTTAAACTGCTGTGTAAGTTAACATCCGCATTTCTATTTATAGCTAAACTTTGTGCCTGGTTCGACACTGGCTTCTCAGCCCTACAGAGGTGAAGCAATCTTTTTCATCTTCATGGCTTCTGTTCTTTCGGGCTTCACATCAAATCTACATCTTGTTCCCTTGTCAAGATGTGATAAATGGCTTTGTTTTAATTCATGGCTGTATATATATATATATATACACACACACATACGAAGACTTCTATGTCAATCGCGTGAACTTAGAAAAGAGAGTGGAGAGGGAGGAAGTGTTTTACTCGTGTGTCGTTAGCTACGTAAGGCCTTGAGGATGTCGAAGCGTATGTATTTACAGCCTTTGTGTTAGTCATGTTTTGGGATGATTCTAGAAACCTGAAGGCAACAAGAGGAAAGATAATCAGAACTAATCCTATTCTGGAGAACTAACGTAAGATTAGCGGCGTTTTAATGCAAGGAGGCCGTGATCTCTGAGAGCTTGGCGCAGCTTGGAGTTCGAGCCCGCTGCGCTCTCTGGTACAGCTCACTGTCTCCAAAATAGCGAGCCCTGTAGAGCATTCCTTCCTCTGCAACAGACCACACAAACAAGTCATGTGAGATATACGAGGAGGGCTGCAAAAACCTCTCCGAGCGTTGCAAAAGATTCAGCCTGGCCCGGCCTGATGCAAGAAGAAGCCCTACTTTGCTGTTTCTCTTTCCAGCAGTTGTTGCGGAGGTTTGAAATGTAGTCGTCCTCCACGCTCCGCTCCAGATTTTTCAGATTCATGCCAGTGAACTCTTTGGAGAACTGCTCCCCCACGTAATATGGCACCTTCAGGTTCTCAGTCAGCCTCTTCTGCGTGTAGCCAGCTGACCTGACGGGAGATAAGACAAACGTGTGGGAGACATATCATATGACAGCAGGCAGCGCAGGAATGACCCACTGGGCCCTGAATCAACTCGGCTCAGTTCAAAAGGTATTTCAGATTGCAAAAGCAAAAGTTTCCATAAGACAAACGAAACAAAAAAAACTCTAAAACCATCTGTTTCTGAAAATCTAATAAAATTAATAGATTATTTTCATGCAACTTATGACTTTACAATGCCTTGTGAAAATCAAATGTTTTCACATTTAAATCATAAGTCCTGATGCATTTTTTGGGTTGTGGAGTATAATTTGGAATAGAAAAGGAAAAAAAATAATAACATATGAAAATTGTGTCCGGTTTTCTCTTGCAAAAAAGTCCAGTTTTGGTTAGATTGGATGAAATATTCATTTTCAAGCCTTGCAACAGGTTTTCAATTGGATTTAGCATTGTAAATATTTAAATCTATTGTATTTACTATCATTATCTTACTGGAAGGTCGGACCTTTTCTCTGGTTTCATCTCTCTCCCGACCCCACAACTGTACCATAGGGTTGTTGTATGGCTTTTATGGCTCTTTTTAACAATGATTAAAAGTGAAATCTATTTCACAATTCGATGACTTTTGAGGCAGCTGGATACACTGGATTTTATTTCGGGATATCAGAGTAAACGGGTCTGAATACAAATGAGCCTCACACCCGTCAGATTCTTATTTGCAAACCAGTTTCAAGAGTCGCTCTAATAAAACCTCACACTGAGGTTTGTGGCTGTAATGTGAGAAACAGTTCTAAAGTTCACGGTTAAATTAAGCTGGGTTGGTAATTTTTGCTTAAAGATGATATCTCGTTCAAGTCCTTCTGGGTCAGGCAGATCAACCGTTCGGCTGTGTTATTTAACACTCTTGTGCACCGTTTTAGAACAGGAGGTCACACTCACGGCCTGAAGCTGAGACTGTAGGAGGGGCTGTTGACCATTATCTGACTGAGAGCCGACACAATCACCAGAATGAGGATGGGCATGACCTGCACAAAGACAGCCAGACCTCCCTGCGGATGTGACACAGAAAAACATCTCTGAAGGGAAGCGTTGTCTCAACCTTGTAAAATGGCGAGCGACTAAATGCCACCCCCTGCTGGCGATTATGCGACACCACATTATCTGTATGCCGCATTTACTCCGAGAGCTGCAAATATACAACAAACAAAAATGAAAATCACAACACAGACACAGCACACACTGTTGACTGTACAACTTGGTATCCAGTGTGTGCTAAGAGTCAAAATTCAACACATATTTTTAACCCTTAGTCAACTCTAATATTAGCCATTGCTTGTTCAGAATACCAAAAAGAAAATGCAGAAATGTTAAAGAGTGTTTAAAGTTAAGAATGAGAAACTAAATGAGTTGAAGCATAACTGATGGAATTAAATCGTCAAAATAAAACAATGTGAAGACATACAAATATAGAAGAAACCTGCTAATTAAAGTAATTAACTAATGGAGTAAAAATGTAATCAACAACTGATACAGTACTACATA